GCCCCAGCCCCTCACTGGGGGATTCTAGGCAGGGGCTCTACCACTGATCACACCCCAGCCTCTCACTGGGGGAGTCTAGGTAGGTGCACTATCACTGAGTGGTATCTGTGGTCTAGCCTAGTGTATTTAGCCAAAACTATAGATGTTAAGTCATTATACCTGGTTTTACACCCAAGTAAGTAAGTGTAAAACATTGTTTTGTTTTGTTTTAGAAGAAAGGGGAATTTGAAAATATGAAAAATTTGTACTGAAGATGTAATTCTAGCTGGGCGGTGGTGGCACAGGCCCTTTATCCCAGCACTTGGGAGGCAGAGGCAGGCAGATCTCTGAGTTCGAGGTCAGCCTGGTCTACAGAGTGAGTTCCAGGACAGCCAGGGCTATACAGAGAAACCCTGTCTCAAAAAAAAAAAAAAAAAAAAAAAGATGATGTAATTCTGCCATGCTATGACATGTAATGTTCAGTTAAACTTTCTTCAAAAACATGATTTTTGCATAGCCCTGACCACAGTGTGTGTGTACACGGTTTTACTCCTTAAGAACTAAGTTTCTCGTGTTACTATAGGATGATCACAGAAATAATAATTTTTTTTCTTTTTTCCAAGACAGGGTTTCTCTGTATAACCACATTGGCTGTCCTGGAGCTCAGTCTCTAGACCAGGATGAACTTGAACTCACAGAGATCCTCCTGCCTCTGCCTCTGAAGTGCTGGGATTAAAGGCCTGTGCCACCATGCCTAGCCAGAAATAAGTTAGTATTTGCCAGATGGTGGTGGTGCATGCCTTTAATCTCAGCACTTGGGAGGCAGAGGTAAGCAGATTTCTGTGAGTGTGTGGCCAGCATGGGTCTAGAGAAGTGAGTTGGAGGACAGCCAGAACTACATAGAGAACCCCATCTTGAAAACCAAAATAAATTTTTAAAAATATAAAAATATTATATAGCATTATATTCAGTCGTGAGTCTAGCTGAGGCATCTCTTCAGCTGAACATTTTAATCTTTATAGAGAAGAAACGAGAAATAAAATTCCTAGTGCATTTGTTATAACGAAGGAAATGTTCTAAAATTATACTTTTAAAATTTGTGTGTAATTTATTACTTTATGTGCACTGGTGTGCTGCTTGTATGTATGTTTGCGTGAGGGTGATGAGTCCCCCTGGAAATGGGGTTAGAGACAGTTGTGAGCTCTCCTGTGGGTGAAAGGAACAGAAGCCGGCTCCTCTGGAAGAGCAGACAGTAATCATGCCTTCTGAGACGTCTCTCCAGTGCCTGAAATTTTTTATTGAGACTCTCACAACTTTATGTAAGAAAGGACAAATTCATGCCAAAAATAAAGGTATTCATGTAACACTGTAACATTTCCCCAAGTTTAAAGTAACACTATCAGCCACGCTAAGGGTCTGGCTAAGGCAGGAAGATCAGTTCAGTCATCCACAGCCTGGGCTATGAGACTGTCTCAACAACAACAAAAAAGAGATCACATTCGGCCAGGCAGTGGTGGCGCACACCTTTAATCCCAGAACTTGAGTTCCAGGACAGCCAGGGCTACACAGAGAAACTCTGTTTCAGAAAACAAACAAACAATAGAACCCAACGACAACAAAAAAGATCACATGAACACACACACACACACACACACACGTGTGCACACACAGGAACAGGTCAGGTCCCTATAGGTTTGGGGGCAACACATTCACATTTGTCACAGAGACTCCTATACAGGCTGACACATGAGCCATGAGGCCCTAGAGCGATGTGACACTGACAGGCAACACCAGACAGCCTTGCAGGTACTGGGGACCAACCCTATTTAAGTGCTGTTGCCTTATATAAATGCTGTCTCCTTCAGTCACAGCTAGAGGCAGAAAGCAGTCTTCGTCCTTTGAGGAGGAGGAAGAGAAGGGCCTCCGTAGCAGAATGAGCTCAGATCCTATAGGAATGAAAGGTACACCCATCTGCTCCATCTGGGGAGATACACCCCTCCCCAGCAAGGGCCCACGTGCTGCTGCTGGAAGAGCAAATCCCAGTCAGAAGCATCCTTTCACGGGGCCTGGGCGATGGCTCAGTCAGTAAAGTTCTTGTCTCACAAGTACAAAGATCTGAGTTGGCTCAAGCCCATACAGAAGCCAGGCGCGGTGACACATGTCTGCAATCCTGCTGCTGGGGAGGTAGAGGTGGCAGACTCTGGGGACTCACTGGACAGCCACTCTAACCTAATTGGTGAGCTTTAGGCAAAAGCTCTAGAACTTGTGTCACAAACAGGATGAACCACACCTGAGGATAATGTGGCTTAGGGACTGCCACGTGCACATATGTGTGCACACGCGTATGGGCGTGTAAGACCAAATACAGCTTCCTTTCATTTCAGCTGTGCCCTGGCTTTGAGAAATCAGGAGGAAGGAAAGGCGGTCTCTACTCCGCACTGTCTTATGGGAAGCTCAGGGGGATGGTGGCCTGCACGGTGCTCTGGGACAGCAGTCCTCAAACAATCACAGGTAATCCTGAGCCACTCAGCCCCCTCTTCCAACTGCATCCAAAAAGCAACATCCTTCCATTTCTCTAGGACACAGGGGAAGGGCCGTTCCTGCCACATACTGCAGAGCCGAGGTGGGGATGAGGGAACACAGAATCTGTCCAGCCATACTTACTTGGTGATGTGGAAGGAGGTTTGTGGAAATTTTTTCTTTTTGTTTTCTGAAAGAAAGAAGAAGCAATGAGAAGCATGCCAGGCTTTCTAAGAGCTCTGTTGGAGAACTTCGCCATACTCAAGAGGCCAGAGAGAGAGAGCCCGGGCCAGGAGACCTCACAGAGGTCTGAGGCACTCCCGAGTGTAGATCCAATACATGGTAGGCAGCTGAGACTTCTCGTACTGGGAGTCAGGAAGATTACTTTCCCTGGTTGTGAGCATTCAGGAGGCAGAGGCAGGCAGATCTCTGAGTTCAAGGCTAGCTTAGTCTACAGAGGATGTTCCAGGACAGCCCAGGCTACACAGAGAAACCACTTCTTGAAAGACCAACAAAAAAGGAAAGGTCTCCCATATGTCCTGTGCTTGTTCTGGCTGCCAGTGAACACCTGTGTGCTCACAGCAGACGCACTAAGATGAACGGCTGGTAAGTCAGTCCATGGCAGATCCCCACTAAGGGAGAGGACCCTGTATGAAAAACAGTCTCCATAGCAAACAAACGCCCTTGCAGTCCAGTGGGAACGCAGTCCTGCAGCTTCTAGGGTGGGCCGTGACCTGCCTTTCCAAGCACTTAGCACAAGGCTGCGTGTGAAGGCTGCAGCATATGGCAGGTCCTTGCTCCCCTCTGGTGGAAATACTGTTCTCTATACCCCAGAGAGATTTGGACTCTGCTTGGACTTGTTAGGTGGCTCCTTCCCCAGCCCGTGGCGTCAGGATCACGTCTCATGTCCCTGGCTGTGGGACACTTGTCACAAAACCGTTTCCTTCCAGATTGAAAGATTCAATCCTGCAGGGTTGGTCCTTAAGCATGAAGGTAAAGAACTCAATAGCCCCAGGAAGTTCCTCAAGCTGACCAGACTCACTAGGCTCCTCCCTGTCTAAGAAAGAAATGAAAGCCTAAAGTTACTCTCAGACAAGCCAAGCTGCAAATAAGACTCCCAGACTCTGGGACTAGACCACCTGCCCAGGAAAGATCTAGACTGTGGTAACTTGGAAAGGACACTGTCCAACCTGCTGAGTTCCTGCGGACTGTGCAGTGTGCTCCAGGCTCCCAGGTTCGTGAGCTGTCCCCCACGCTTGGGTGTGCCTTGGTCATGCAGCTGTCTTTGAGTCATTTGGTCCTTAAGTAACCACCTCGTCAATACTCCTCCGAGCAACTCCTTCACCGAGCTGCACTTTGGTCTGTCCTGGGATCCCAATCTAGGGTGAGTTGTCTCCCCAGGAAAAGTTTTGTCATACAATAACAGTGGTCCCTCCTTGGGGACTGTGGGCATGTGAGGTCTCCTAAGGGCAGCTGAGGCTTCTCGTGTTGGGTCCCTTCAGATCTCATGTATAGATGGAATCAAGTAATTTCTTGGGCTATCCACTAAGTGAGCACTGAGCATGCTTCCCTTTGCCACTCAGTGCAACTTACAACCTGAGATGCTGGCTAATTCCCATGGGGCACTGGGAGTATTTTTCCAATCTAGAAAGCCTGCCTAACATCCTCCAGTGAGGGGCTGGGGTGTGGCTCAGTGGCAGAGACCCTGCCTAGAATCCCCCAGTGAGGGGCTGGGGTGTGGCTCAGTGGT